TTAGATTTGTCGAAATCAACCCAATTCAGTCCAAATTTTCATGCTCGCAAATGTACGAATTGTAGTATAATATAATAGGCAAACACAACCTCGTTCCAACTGAGATCGAGTCAATTCTAATTGCCTAGCTTAAGTTGAATAGCACTTGAATTCAAAATATTGATTATAAGAAAGAATTGCAAGGATTGAGTTCTTGATTTAAAAACACTGAAAAATAACAAGACAAATAAGACTAAAGGAATAGAGATGCAAATAGAAACAAATTGTGAACGGGATGAGTGAGTTACTAGAGCATTCGATTTCATTATAACCAGTGTCACATCCCGGCCCGGGCCCTCACCACATCCCGGGTTTGACTCCACCATAACCAGTGTCACATCCTGACCATGGGATTGCTCTCGCGCGAACTCGCTTAACTTCAGAGTTTTGATGGAACTCGAAGCTAGTAAGCTCCCAAAATGTCTTGTGCTAGGTAGAGATGAGAATATACATATAAGGCTTACATGATCCATTCTCCTGGACAATATGGGATGTCACAATCCGGCCCCCACCACATCTTGAGCTCGACTCCGCCGTAATAGGATATGTGGTGGGGGCCCTGGCCGGGATGTGACAACCAGTCCAACCTATTTCTAGCAGGAAATTTGGAAAAATAACCAAATTTAAGACTCTATGTAGAATTATAGCCACTTTTTTAGATTTATGATAATTATAGCCCAAAATTGATATAAAAGTACTAATATACCCTTATGTACACCTTTATAATTTTGTATCAAAATAAAAAATAAAAAAATTGAACAATTAAATCCCCTTTCTACTACAAGTTTAGAGACAGAAAACATATCGAAATCATATAATGCAGAAGAGAAATGCCAAATGAAAAATGATACAAAATTTGCAATCGACGAAGCAGCTGGTAGATAATGATCTTCTTTTTCATACTAGCTAGATGCCCCAAACTTGTAAGAAAATTGCTAAATGTAAATGAATCAATGGGTGTGGTGTGGGGCAATAAATATATAAACTAACATGTTCTCCAAGTTGTCTCAGCCATGAGTGTTCATAGCTTCCCAGACCATTTTCTTCGGGACTGTATTCAACAACTTTCCAGACCATTTTTGAATGACAATGAAAACCCTACAACAATTTCACAATAAAATGATGAATAATAAATAAATTTTTCTTGTCACACACAAATCAAACCGAGAAAATCCTTGGGTTCACATTTTTTAATTTTTTTGGAACAAAAAAAAAAAAAAAAAAAAAAAACCCGGTAAGACATTGGGATAATCTCAGATTTGATTTGGGTTTTTTAGATTTGTTTTCAAACTCTCCTTACCTCTCAATTCCTATTTTAAGGATATATTAGTATTTTCATATCAACTTTTGGTTATAATTATCATAAACTTAAAAGGATGGCTATAGTTCTATATAGGATTCAAATTTTGGTTATTTTTCCAAATTTTCCATTTCTAGCAATAAATTATTAATGAATAATTGTCGACGATCTAATTCCTCTAAATCATATAGTGTTCATGACATCTAGATTACTAGGTATACTCTTATGTACTAAGATTCAATGACATGTAGATTACTAAACACAAAAAAAAAAAAAAAAAAAAAAAATTATTATCAATTTGGACACTAACTAAGAGACTGCATGAAACATAGTCATAACCTGTATATCAAGGCTTTCATAACTTTAACTGCAAGAAGCTTTGAATTTCCACATACTTAAATTTGCATTAGATGAACTTGACAAACCAAGTTTGTAGCTAATCAACAAGATAAAAATCAAGCGTATAATCCACAACAAAATAAACTCAATAAGATTGAAATTCATAAATAACGATACTAAGGAATGAAGCAATCATGATTAGGTTACCTCGTAGCTCTAGGGAAAAGAAATTAATTTCAAAACATAATTGAAGTTGTCACTAAATGCATAATAAAATGAAGAAAACCAAGTTGAGAAAACTTGAGCCTTTGTTGCTCTTCCGCACCTCTATTCGTCGAACTTGTCATCTCTTGAATGATGATCAGTTGTCCTCTTCTTTTCCTTGTTATGTTTCCATTTTCTTCTCCCTAACCGACAATGGCTTAAATTTCATTTATTGACAACATTAGAAGAGAAAAACATAAAAACTCTTCAATTATCTACTTGCCACTTTATGCATTAAACACATCTTGATTAATTTTTTCATTTGACAATGGCTTCTCTTGTATCTTTTGTCTACTTGAGGCTGATTATCGCTAGGGCTGGGTTCGGTTGGCAAATCGTGCCAAATTTCTTGTGCCACCTACCAACCACATATACATAATTACTGAAAATCAATTACTGCTAACCAACCGTCTTCTTGCGATTGCCAAAAATCGGTTCAGCCAAAATTATTGGTTGTTCGGTTGGTAAATGGCACAATCAGTGGTTTCCACTTCTTCCTCGCTATCTTCTAGTTCTAGGGGTTCATTTTGATTTTCAGATTGGGTTGCTTGTTCGGTTGCATTGTGTGGTTCATTTTTGGCTAATCCATGTTGTAACGGTTGATTGGCTAGACTCCATTATCCTAAACATAAGCAACACATATACATTCAAAATCATATATATGTACCTGTATATATAGTATCAGTAATCATCATGCTATCAATTTTGTTAACAATATTTTCTATATTTATTATGGCATGAATCATATACATATACATATATATTTTTAAACCCTAAAACTAAGGAGTCAACAGTCAAGCATGTAAAAAATACCTAAAATATCTAAATAGAAAATAAATTTATATATATATATATATATTGGTAGGTATGGTATACCGTCGGCATACAAAATCAATTACCAAAGCCATGCCATTAATTGTCGGTTCGGTAAAATGCCAACCGATTATGAAAAAATACCAAAACTATACCATACCATTATGAGCCGACTAGTATGGTTCGGTCGGTAAATCGGTTTATGGCAAAATTTTCCACTCCTAATTATCGCAATGTTCCCTTCTTCAATTATCCGCTGCCCTCATTCTAGGATAATACTTGGGTACTGAATAGACAGTACCCAAATTATTAACCACATGAAGTGGCCCAATGAGAACAAAACATTTGTTACAATTTTAATTTATAAACGTGAAACCTTGTCCTCTCTAACGAGAAATTTTTGGGAGTGACGAGAACACACACCTCAGCAAAGCAGGTGGTGTTCCCAACCTATTAAATTTTGACAGCTGGATTTTGTCATTTGCTCACTTAATCATGAGTAATGATATTCATACCATATTTTTGTATCACATTTTCATACCATTTTAGGTGGCATTTGATGTGGACAGCCACATCATTTGAATTAATCAGATTTTTTAAATTAGTTCATTATTTAATAAACTAATAATTAAGAAAAACTAGTTAATTAAATGATGATTGTGGTATACAATAAGTCTTTCTTCTTCCTTTCCTTGGGGTTTGCAAATTTTTCAAATGATGTAGCTGTCCAATGCCATCTAAGATGGTATAAAAATGTGGTATAAAAACATAATATGAATAGCATTACTTGGAGAAGCTAAAAAGTAAAAAAACAAAAGGATGCCAAAAGCTAGCTGTCAAAATTTAATAGGTTAGGAGCACCACCTGCCTTTCTGAGGTGTGTGTGTGTTCCCGTCACCCCAAAAATTTCTCCTCTTCAATGCTTCCGGTAACCTCGTCTCCTCCATCGGTGCCACCCACTTCTCCTCCAACATTTCTTTGTCGACGACCCCACCTCAAAATCCTCCTATTCTTTATTGTGGAAGCCATGGTAGCACTTCGTCTTCATCGTAGGACTTCTCAGTCATGGAATTCACGGCAATATAGAAGCCCAAATTTCCCCCAAATAATTTCAACCTCCTTCGTGATTTTTCTCCTAGGTGAAATTTCCTTCATAAGCCTTAGGAACTTTTAAACACACAACCAAACACCTCCTTTCTTCCTCCCTGCAACTTTTTCACCCGTTTTCCTCCATCTCCCTTTGTCTAGGACCAATCACCATGGCTACCATTGAAAACAGTGACGGAGCCAGCATGGAGTTATTGGTTGTCTTTGACCTTAATAACTTTAAAAACCCTATGTATATTTGCTTCTATATTGTATTTGACTCTAACAAACAACTAAGGCAAATTAAATTACGACCTTCTCGTCCTACTTCTTCTATTTTCTTCTATCATATTTGTTTTCATTTTCTCTCTTCTTAAATGAAATGTTTTAGTTGAAAAGCCTTGAAAATCTTCAACATTACTCCACAGTACCCTACATCCACCATCGACAAGCTTGTACAAGTAATAGTAGTCGTCGATATATGTTGACATAAAATTTCAGCATATGTTGGCAGGAATTCACAGGTGCCTACTAGGTGCTCGACGAAATGACCCAATGAAGCTTTTTTGTTGATATTATGACATGATTATTTGAAATTCCTGGTTACGCTGCTGCTTGTAAATAAATAAAAAATTGAATTCTCTTCAAGATGAACAAAATCAGGCACTCGGCAACCTCCTAGCTCTGCTCGACCTTTCAGAGCGAGGTTGTCTCTGTTCCTAACCTCGCGTTGCCCGAGCTCATGACTGCCTGGATTTCGCAGTTGATGGCCTCAGATTTCTTTCGTAAACTAGAGCTCCTCATGAGCCTCTGCAACTCGTCGAGCCTTGGCAGAGTTAACTCGGTCAGCTCCTGAGAATCGGGGGTCAACTCCATCGTACCATCTAGATCAGTAGCTCTGTGGTACAAACTTCAATTAGTGGTCTTCAACGAGCAAATCGTTCTACATTTTGTTCAATTGGTGTTTGTTCAAATGCCTCAGTGAAATTCAAAGCAGATTATATATGTTTTTCATAGTTTTTAAGATTTGGAAACAGTTACCTAAATTCCGTACCAAGCAAGTTTTTTTAGTATAATAATTGTATGTGAAAACTTGTTCATGGTCTCGACTTCTACTTTGCAAGTGTGGTATAACCTTCTTTTTGCTTTTACTATGCAGATTTCTCCAAAAGCAAAAGAAAACCAAAAAATTTGCATACTGCTCTGTTTTTCTTCAAGCGTAGCCTTGATCATAAGCTAAGGTATGACCTATTGTTTGATTTTTTTTTTAATTTCATCTGCTTTGAAAATAAAGGATTCCTTTCTCGTATCTTGAATTTATTTATTTATTTTGGATTCGTATATATTCAACAGATCGGAGAAGCAGACGAATTGGTAAGCTGAAGGTGCCATGGCGATGGAGATACTCACTGCAATTATTCCTACAATAATTGACTACACAGTTAGACCACTTGGACGGCAAGTGAGTTATGTCATTTTCTACAACAGCAACCTTAAAGATCTAAGGAGTACATTGAAGAATTTTGATGCTGTGAAACAAAGGATGAACCATGCAGTTGAAGAAGTCGAAAGAAAAGTTAATGAAAAAGTGGAAGTTGATGTCCGGAACTGGCAGACAGAAGCAGATGAGATCTCTCGAGAGGCAGAAGCAATATTGGATGATGAAGGCCGTGCAAAGACAAAATGTTTGTATATATGTCCTAACCTGATATCCTATCATCAGCTCAGCAGAAAATCAACTAAATTGGTGAGAAAGATTGAAGAACATGAAAATAAAAAAGAGTTTCCCACAATTTCTTACAATGCTGCCTTAGAAGACATATCTGCCATAGCCTCCGACGAGTACATGGCCTTTGAATCAAGGATTTCAATGGTGAAGGATATCATTACGGAATTGAAAAAACCTGATATCAACAGGATTGGGGTGTACGGATTAGGGGGCGTTGGGAAGAAACAACACTTGCCAAAAGAGGTTTACAGAGAAAACTGTGAAAGAGAAGTTATTTGATGATGTGGTTCTGGTACTAAATGTCAAAGAAAAAAGAGACAACGAAAAAATTCAAAAAGAAATTACCAAAAAGTTGATGATGTACGTTGATGAATCTGAGGATAGGGGAACAAGGGGGAATCTCCTACGGGCCAGGATAAAAGAGGGGAAGACTCTTGTCATTTTAGACGATGTTTTGGAAAGAATTGACTTTGAAGCTGTGGGACTCGTCGGTGTGCCGAACTGTAAGCTATTATTGACATCTAGAGAAAAAAAAGTTTTATGCTCTGATATGCGTACGCAAAAAGATTTTCAACTTGGATTTTTAAGAGAAAAAGAAAGTTGGAGTTTGTTTGAGAAGATGGCAGGTAATGTCGTTAAAGACAACCGTATACTGAAAGAAGCAACCCAACTAGCAAAGAAATGTGGAGGCTTGCCGGTTTTGGTTGTTGCAGTTGCAAGTGCTTTAAGGGATAGTAGTTTGGATGAATGGAAAGTTGCGCTGAGAAGTTTCAAAAGATTTGACAAGAAAGAATTGAATGAAAAAGAATTCTTGGCTCTAAAGTGGAGTTACGAACAATTGGAGGATCAAGAGCTTAAGCAATTGTTCTTGCTTTGCGGAATTCTTGCATTTGGGAATGGCAAGATTTATGTCTTTTACTTGTTTCAATGTGCTATGGGCTTGGGTTTGGTTAGAAGCGTTGAGACAGTGGAAGAGGCACGGATTTCATTGAATTCAATGGTTAAAAAACTAAAAAATTCTTGCCTATTACTGGACGGTTATGACGATGAGACTGTTACAATGCATGAGCTTGTACTAGATGTTGCTGTCCGGATTGCATCTGATGATCAAAAGGCCTTTTCAAGAAAATATGGAGATGGGTTGAAAGAATGGCCAACTGAGGATTTCCTTAAAAAATGCACATGGATCTTCGTAGAAGGTGGCAACATCCCCAGACTTCCTGAAGCACCTTGGGAATGCCCAGAATTAAAATTGTTGACGTTGGATGTGCATAATATTGGCGACTCCCAGGAAATCCCAAGCAAATTTTTTTGAAGGGATGAAAGAACTCAAAGTGTTGGATTTAACCAAATTCCATATTCCGTCACTACCTCCGTCTCTTCAATCCCTAAAGCATCTCCACACATTGTGTTTCGGTTACTGCGAGTTGGTAGACATAACACTTGTTGGGCAGTTAACAAACTTGAAGATCCTTAGCCTGCTACACTCCAAGGTTAAAGAGTTGCCCAAAGAAATAGGGCAATTGACTAGGCTACAATTATTGGAGTTGACTG